ACAATTTAGAACGTTGTCTTGGCAAGAAAATTACAAAAATACAAAAATAATGGATATTTATACAATTGGTATGATTTCTAATTTTCAGAATATTACTATTATTATTATTATTATTATTATTATTATTATATTTTATTTTACATTATATTTTAGTAAAATATATATTGAAAAATGAGCGAATCAGAATCTGAATATGAATACGCTGTCGGAAAGCGGCTCACAAGGAAGAGATAAGTCGTAAGTGTGTGATAAGTAGAAAAAGGATATATTTTATACTTGAATAAGTAAGTGTTATAGCTTATACAATCCCATGTAAATGATAAATATCAATAAACCGATTGTTCTTTTTTTGCTTTCACATTGTTATTTTCAATTCTCGATCGCATTCGAGTGTGAAAAATTATAGCAACATAATGTTCAACGCCGCTCGAATTATCTCGAGTGTGCACAGTTTGGCCAGTTTAGCGCGCTCGAGTTAACTCGAGCGTGCGCGTTAAGGGGTTAATCTACGGTCCCGAGAAAAGGTGCCTGACCAATAAAATAAACCGAACCCTACGGGACAAGGTNGCGCGTTAAGGGGTTAATCTACGGTCCCGAGAAAAGGTGCCTGACCAATAAAATAAACCGAACCCTACGGGACAAGGTCCAATACTTCGGCGGATTTACAACGACGACCCGCTATAACTACCTTTTTATACCGTTTAATAAGGAAAATAGTTTTTTTTTACTGCACTTTAGCCGGAGACCCAAGATGGTCTCCAACTGCTTTCCATCGGCTTGACTTTTTCTCAAGGCCCTAGAGCAACGTCTTCGGAAGTGGGGGCAGGTTGGGGGTGAAACCAATCAGGCTTCAAAAATGGGCCGAACAAAATTGACTCCGCCCCGAGCAAGTCAACCTGCGGAACGAAACTTGACGATACAGGTAAGTCTTTCGGTAACTCTCACGAGAGACGTGTCAAGTACTCGCACACAATTGTAAACCTGGACCTTCTGTAAATAAACTGCGTTGTTTTACGTTACGACACAGTGAGCTTTTTTACAAATCAACTCCACCGCCATTAAGTTGTCGTTGGAGGCGCAGCATCTGGAAGAGCAACTTTCAATCTGCGTACCGTGCGATATATTCGTACGGCCCTAACAGTGTCTTATGTTCCGATCGCGGATAAACATAATTTCGAGTAAGTCCGACTCTCGATAGCTACCTTCAAACGTGCGTCAACTGTTTAATTGTATCAGAATTCTGTTTAAAACGCGAGCACAAGTGTCGTCATTGGCTCAAGCAGTTTTACAGACTCTGTGAGACACCATCCGGAGTCGACAACTGAAAGTAAACGATCTAAAAATTCCTAAACAAAATACGATGCATCGAGACAAAAATTTGAACTTATCTTCGGTTCGATTAGTTCGATAATTTACTCACCGTGGATAGCCCAGTGGCCCGCCAGCAACCGAATCGTTCTCGGTCTGTAGCTTGCAGGGTTCCCCGTTACACCACCAGGTGAGCTTAGCGACTGGCACAGCGTAGACATCGCATTTGAGCGTGACGTTGTCGCCCTCGTAAGCTTCGACTTTGTTCTGCAGCTCGATCTCCGGCAGGCAGGCGAGCTCGTTCGGCTTGACGGCCTTGATTTGCCTGGCCCTTAACCGTGGCGGAGCATCGCAGACAGGCTCGGACTCCTGAGGAGCGGCGGGAGAGGACTCCTTGAGCCAGGCCTGCGTGGCGTTCAGCCTGCAGTCGCATAGCCAGGAGTTGTTGTGAAGAGTGAGTCCTCTCAGACTGCCACCGAGAGGAAGCGTGAAGTCTGGCACGCGGGTGAGCCTGTTGCCGTCGAGTCTGAGCCATTCGAGCTGATGAAGACCGTCGAAGGCTCCCTGTTCGATGGTCTCGAGTCGGCATCGGCTGAGCTCTAAGGTGGTCAGGTCCTCCAAGTGATGGAACGCTGCTCTTCTGATCTCTTTGATCGGGTTCCCGTTCAGCAACAGTTTCATCAGCTTCGAGTAGGAGGGGAAGGTCTCGGAGGGTATCTCCTCGATCAGATTGTCCGACAGGTCAAGCTCCACCAGCCCGACCAGGCCAACGAACGCCTTGGAAGCTATGCGGCTGATGTGTGATTTGGCCAGGTAGAGTCGTTGCAAGTTTACGAGTCCCAACAAGTGGAAGCATTCGGGCTGCAGGCTGACCAGGTGGTTGCCCGACAGGTCCAACACCTGCGTCTCCACGCGTGCACCCTGCGGCAGTGCCTTCAGGTCCCTGTTCGCGCACTCCACCCACTCCTTGCCGCTCTTCCATTTACACGTGCACACCGACGGACAAACTGCGACCGCCGATGCCCACGACACTAGTAAAACCGTCCCCAAAACTGCACCGCGCCACCGCCAGGCTCGCACGCTCGAGCACATGGCGCCTAGCGACTCGTTCCACGATGTACCGGCGCGTCTTTCTATCTCATCTTGCACGCTGCCCGCCCGATTACTTTCCCCCTCGGGTTCTACACCCTCGATGACCTCGGACGCAGGCATCCTACGGAGCGCATTCTGCCGTGGTTGCTGCCAGGACGGCTGATGGCGATCCCCTCGTCTGGACCCTCGACGCGATTCACAAAGCTTGCGGGTTCCCGCCGGATCATCAAGGATCCTGCAACAGCAAGAGAATGGATTCCTTTAGAGTATGATTTTGACGGTTGTTGGCCTCTTTGGGGTGAATTGCTAGACAAGGTTTCAGCAATGCTTTGGACGGAAGTAATGGAGGTAAGTAATCTGCATAGGATGAGTGAACGAACATTTAAGCTGCATGATTGTACAAATGATCGTTATTCAATCATCTGGATGATATTATAAGTGAGCTGCTATACTTATTTTTATTACTATACTTTTATACTATACTTTATGTAGTATATAGTATTATTATATGGGGTGTCCCAAAATTATGGTATTTCCAAGAAATAAGGGATTCCTGAGATGATTTGAAGCAACTTTTTCCTTTACAAAAATTTTCTCCGAGGCATCGTTAACGAATTATTCATAAAAAACACTGACCAATGAGGGGCGAGTTCGCTCAGCGCTAGCCGCCTCGCGTCAGCCAAGCTTGCCTCTCATTGGTTATTCTTTTTCGTTAATAACTCGTAAACGAAGCCGCGGATTGCAATTTCGCTGAGGAAAAAGTTACTTCGAATGATCTCAGGAACCCCTCATTTCCCGGAAGTACCGTAATTTTGAGACACCCTGTATAGTGTTAGGATATAGTATTATGTAGTATTATATAATATAGTATATAATATTAATATAATATATAATATAATATAGTATTATAATATTATATAATATATGCTATACTATATATATATTACCTCTGCAAGAACTACTGTATTAGGAGAATGGAGATCGCGAGAAGAGTGAGAATACTACGAAAAAGAGTATGATAAACGTCATTCTCTCGTACAATATCGAAAATGTTCATTTATTGCGAGTCTTCATACATTCGACAAATTGATCCGACGTGATCTGCAACAATTGCAAGGTACCGAAATTAAATCTATGCTGCAGCTACTCATTTCTACGACAACTGCGTAAAATCCGCAGTTCGGAGACTGCTTCTGCCTTATCGCGGCACGGTTCGTCGTTTTCAAAGAGCGACTTTACAAATCCAACTCGTTGTCTTCCCAATCCGCATATCTGTCACCGTTGACATCGACTTAACATGAAATGAAAATTCAGCCAAGAAAAGAACAGGTAAGAATCAAGTTCCATAAATGCGCAGGGATGTCAGCGTCCCCTGGAAGCAAACGATTCTTCCTTTCTTCTATTCTTCCATTCGCAAATACGGTTCGACATTAAGCTATTCAGCTTTGCAGTTGAGAAGCAATCGAGTCGAAGTTGAAAATCCCCGGTATCGAGTGCACCGAACCATCCCGGAATTCGCTATCTCTTGATCGGAATAACCTACTCGCGCGGGGGAAGAGGGCAGGGGCGGGGGAACGGTTCTTTTTATCAGGACGCGCGTCTTCCGTGGCTTTGGGTCACCGTGCGCAGACCCGGTGGAATTTGAATGGAGGATCCCCCGGTGAAAGGCGACCGAAAATCCGTCTTACGGGACCCAAGGCCGGTTACCACGGGATTCTACGGAATTTTCATAGACGAAAATATTAAAACCAAATGTGGCCGATCGATCTTGGAGAATGCGCCACCCACGAGGTGCCCAGCGACTCGAGAGTAGGGCAACCAGCGATTTTATTTCCGCAAGGGCCCGCGAATAAAGGAACTTTTAGAGGCGCTTGACGATACATAAATCGACGCGACGCGACGTTAGCTTTACGAGCGCAGTCGCTCTCCAGAGCGATACGACCGAGTCGTAACATCGCATTCCTGAATATGTCCTTACACCGATTTCTGCTACTCCCGGCCCGGTTGGAATTTTTAATACATTACTCGGACGCTTTGATACATCCTCTTGTCTGGTTTTTAGAGACTGAAAATCGCACGATCAGAGATTATCAGTTCTTTTTCTTTCATCCGGCGGCTTTGATAACTTTGAGAAATGGCCTGTTTTGAAGGTGTCGTTTGAGGATTTTTATTTTGGGAACTGAATTGTATATCTTCACGAACGTTTCTGGCTGATTTTAAGTATGTTTGAAGAAGGTAAATTATCTATTGTACGTAGCTATCTCGAAAATTATAGAAGTTAGTTACTGTGGGGTAACCAATTGATACTACTTTGCTTTGCCTTTGGACGTAATTAATTTTATATTAATATAAAATTTAGTAAGACGTATTAATTTTTTTATTCTTTCATTTCGTTTCTTTTTAGATAAGAAAATTCCCAGCTCCACTACCCTGTGTATCCATAATTTTGCGGAATGATATAATTGTTGAAATATGACTAAAATATTAGTTCTTTTTTTGCAAAACCTCAGGCATCTTTATAATATTATGTCTCCTTCCTCCTTTTATATTGTTTTTTTTACTCTCGGCGTAAGATTGAACGCATAATAGGAGCCTACTAATTTGATATATTTTCGTTACACGTAGACCATATTTCCAAGCGAAAATCGTCCATTGACATACGTTCTACATCACGACAGATAACGAAGAATGTTCAGCGTTTATTACCGCAACCACTTATTCCGAGACGAACATTTTTCTTCGCTTATCGACGATTTAAGACCGGCCCTCCGAGGGGATCGTAAAGAACGTGGAATAACGTCTGCATTTTAGAGAGGCGGCCCTTCGCCCCTTTTCTTACTTCCTTAGCATTGTGCTCCGGATTCGTTCGCGCGCACATCTCACGAGGCTAATCCGCATAAACGACAGGAGATCCGTGAACTATTCGAGTATCGATTATCGCGTGATTTATTGTCACCTAATAGCCCCAAGCCGGTCCCCAAAAAAACCTAACACGACCGCCCGAATAGGATCCAAAAGCTCCACGGAGTCTCGGAAGAATAATTTGCATTTTTTTAGCAGAATTTACAGGGTAAACTCGTCTTCAAAATTAAACAGAATATTCTTTTTTCTCCTGCAAGAAGTATTATAATTGTTAAAGCTTCGCGCGGTGATTATTCGTCCTGGAAAAAAATTCGGCAATTATGAAATTGCGAATGCACGCATGCCAGAGAATGCTGCGAATGCGAACACTACGCCAGCACCATCTTCATTACAAATTACAAGTTCCGAGGTCGGCATCCCGCGGAGCAAGTTATTGTACATTTGCAAACAATAATGTAATTACCAAAACGTACTCTGCGCTCTCGGCTTTCATTATCCTCCAACGTCCATTCATCGCCGCCATAACATTTTACGGCGTTGTCGAAGCATTCTCGTGAAATACAATTAACAAAATATTTTTGTTGCCATAAAATAATTATTAATAACAGAGAGAGAGAGAGAGAGAGAGAGAGAGAGAGAGAGAGAGAGGCTGCCGCAACGATTTCGCCGGTCGATCCGAATGACATAATTAAAGTATAACTTTTGCACAAAATTGGGAACCGCCCCTAGAACTTCATAATAAGCCCATCTCTACCAATTGTAATAATGATAGTAATATTAATAATGATGATATCAACAGCACGGATAATGTGATAATAATAATGTGATAATAAAATGTGATAATTCTATTTTGTTATTTTATTATAACACAATATCATTTCCGCTGCAAGCGAAAATTCTTCTTCCTTCGTTCATTGAAAATGTTTTTAACACTTCGATTGAAAAATATTCCAGCCAGTCTTTTCCATCGAAAATGCAATGACAATGGCTTCTTCCGTGATGATTTTAATAAATTCAAAAGTCAATTTTATAATGTTATCAGATGCTGTGTTGTTCAAGTTTTTGTTATATGTTATAATGATATTTCATGGGAGGCGTGCTACCTCTTGGTTCGATTCCATAATACTTTTTTATGAGCGAATGTAACCTTTGTAATCATTGTATTATTATTATTATTATTATTATTATTAATAGTAGTAGTAGCAGCAGTGGTAGTTGTAATAGTAGTAGTAATAGAGTAGCAGTATTACGTTGAATTTTTGTAGAAAAATTAAGAGGGCATTTGGCCCGTTGATGCTAAATAAATAAATAAATAAATAAAATTCGATGTCTGCAAATTACTGTAGATTCTATCAAAGTTTCATTTAATATACTTTTTAACGAACTTTTCACAGGAGCAGAGCACATGATAATCGAATTTTAATCCAGCGAAACTTTTACCGCAAAAATTTGGAGGACGATGAAAAATGAAATGAAAATAAAATGATCGGGCGACGCTGATTGTGAGACACGGGAAATATTTGAGCCCACGGGTGCAATAACGAAATTAGGACCTTAATCTCCGCTAAAAGCATAACCGACCACGGTCGTTATTGGTGTCGCGCGGCCCCGTTCGCGGACTTTAATCGTCGCCATTAATACCCGGTAATTATACCGCTATTGACCTAATAATTATTGTTTAGGCGTGCGCCCCTGTTACGCAACGACAGAGAGCCCGTGACATCGTTAACCGCGGGTAAACGTCCCCTTTGCGGTCGCGATATCCCCGCGATACGTTCCGCCCTTTTTATCCAACATCGCGACGATTATATTCGGCCGCCATTCAACCTGCAGCCTCGATTATTGGCAATCGCGACAATAGCGCTGTCCAAATTCCCACCTTTTCCATTCATTCTGAAATGCGCATTTCGTTCCGGAGATGTCGGACTCCAGATTTTACAAATGTTTTGTGCTTCGACTGCATTAGTCGTATCAATGTTTACTGCAGGTTCTTATTCTACATACTCTTTTCCATACGGTCTGATAAGATTCTAATCATTTTTGTTCAATAAATGTTTACAGGATGGAAGAATTTGTGAGATTGGCAAACTGGTATTCGTATCTTTATTGACTTCGAAATTTGTCTGTTGCGTACGAAAATGGCTGTTGCGTACGAGTAAATATTGGGTTGGGGAATAAGTTCGTAGCGTCTTTATTTGAAGGCGATTTTCTTTGTTGTTTTCGTTAAGCTCGTGAGGCACCCAGGCTCCCAATTTTTCGGCAAATCCCATTGAATGAAGATGATTTTTTTTTATTTCTTTTTTTATTTTTTATTATTAGAAATCAGCAATCAGAATACAAATTCTATGGGCCGATGTGATCGCTGGGGACTTG